TGAAATTAATTTTGCATTTGTAGGGTTCCGGCTTAATAACCGGCTACAACGTGGCTTCGAATAGCGTTCGTACTCATGCCCTCTTGAAGTAACACAATGACACTTCCTCGGTGTTCAGGTGTCAACAATTACATATCGTTGCGTCTTCCATGTAACTATAAGAGTTGTAGCCTACTAACCCTAGCATACAAAATAAATAACACCTTTTCACGTAATGTAATGTCATTATACATAATAACTTACTTTCAAATATTTTTGTATAAAATTGAAATATCTTGATTTGATATATACTCTTAAAAAAAGATAAGGGATATTCAGAAACAATACATAACTGTGGAAATGCACTGCTGTTAGAGGTAACCAGTGTATGTTAATAACCGGCCAATTGCCTATACATGAACATAAACAGTTCATATGGGCCGCTTATCTGACGGCCCCATTTCACTCGCAAAGAGATACACCGTCAAAACGGAAATTAGACGTTTTTGATTTTTGTCTTAATAAAGAGTAATTGCTCCACCAATCCTGAGACATTTAGCACTTCGTCGTGGCATGCTCCTAATCAACCGTCCAATCACGATTTGGGACAATCTGACCCACTCCTCTTGCAGTGCCACGGCCAATTCTTGCAGTGTTGTCGGTTGACGTTGACGTCGACGAACACGTCCCCCGATCAAATTAAACGTAACACACTAAAGCAAAGATACGCTAAACAGTAAATCTTATGCAAGAACCGATAGGAAAGCAAATATGGATAGATAAACCATTACGCGGCAGTTTTCATCAACCCTTCCTTTAAGTGTCAAATTTGACAATGAACCCCTTCCACGTGTATGGCGCTATTTCGTGTCGCATGTGCAGCTCAGTGGTTCAGTTGGGGCGATAAGTTCTTCATCTGTGAACATACTCTCAAAGCATGTCAAATGTCCATAGCTATTTGTCATATCACAACCTGCATAGGTATTTGCATTTCAATATCTCCTACTTTTTTTGAAGAGTATATTTATATAGATTTATTGTTTATTGCAAGCGATATATGTGTAGTTTGTGTGCCTTGACCGAGGTTTTGTCTCATCGTGGTGTGGTCCTCCTTACAGTAATAAACAAATGGTTAAGTCAGCAAAATATTATTCTTAAAGGTTTGTTGAGATTCAAATACTGGAAATGCAACATAAAAGTGTAAATTCCACTAGTCATTGACGTCAGATATTCCCTTGTATGAAATGTTATTTAGCGCAAGTCTCTGACGTTAAACGACCATATTATCTTGAAGGTTGTCCTTTTATATAAATGTCTTCTTTTGTGTTTCTTCTAGATCTTGTTAAAGCGATGTAGATTGGAAGTTTATGGTCCACTGATGACAAAATATTAAAAATGAGCAAGCAACATTAGAGGACATGTCTGAAAACGAAGGTTGCGATTGAAATGATGTTTAACGTCCTACTAACCTGCGGGGACCACGGTGGCTAAGTGAGTAAGACTGCTGGCTCCTACTCTGGAGGTCGCAGGTTCGCTCCCGGTGTTGGCCGAGAAAGTTCATCGGGATTTTCCGACGTTGTTTTCCCTCGTCAGTGGTGCAGGATGGAGGGCCTGACAAGGACAGCTGTCTAGTCGTTCGGACGTGCATGTAAAAGATCGCTTGGCAGTTGGAATTCGATATAAGAGTAGGCCGTAGCGCAGTTGTCCGAACAAAATTTCCCTCATAGCACACTGTATGGCGTATGCCCAGTCGGAGCAGAACAGTAGGACGTTAAACCTCATTTCATTTCATTTCCTACTAACCTGCACCGATGGGGCTAATCAAGACGGGCGTATGCGTTACAGTCTACTCTTATATCGCACTAAAACTGCCAATGATTCTTTCACGTCCACGAACTCGGTTTTTCGTCCCATCCACACGACTATAGATACTGTCCTTGCCAGGCTCACTGTTAAGTACTACTGACAAGAGGAAACAACGCTGGAAAATCTAGAGGAACTTTTTCCACCGTCGCCGTACAAGGTGTACGGGCTCGATGAATGTTAATGGGGGCAGAGCCTGAAATGCCCGGAAATGGTGCGAGTCGTGATAGTGATAGTACCTAGCGTTAAGACGGTTTCTATGTAGCACCTCACTGGTTTGCACGAATAAAATGAATAGTCAGACCTTTATGCTCCTAACGCCCTTATTGAATAAGTATGCCAATAATAATATACAATATAAAGAAGACGGTGTGTGAAATTGTATACATGGATTATGACGCGACTTTTAAATTTTTTAATAACCCGAAGCCTTTTATGAAGGGTGTTTCGCGTTTCACCGGTGTCCCCTTACCAAGATAAATCTAGAAATATCAGATAAACTTATACAAAAAATGGTCCCGTGATGCATAGGCGTACGAGCTCGATGAATGTTTGAAAATTTAACTGCCGCAAACACGTTTTCCTGCTATTCCAGCCCGTGAATACAGCAACTTCAACGTGGTCCAATATAGCCTACCTTAGGTGACTTACCTGAATCCCAAATCCCAAACAACCAATCAATCGTCGCGGGGTATGGGGGACTCCCCCGAGAAAATTTTGAAAATTTAACCGCGTTTTTCTGCTATTCTAGCCCGTGAATTAAGCATCTTCAACGTTTCATATCGGTTTGCAACCGCAATCCCACTCTATGCCAGTAGCGTGGCTCCAGACAAAATGCTTTAATCCATAGTAAATTCAGTACAAATTCGTGGTATTTAATTAAAAGAAAAGTAAAATCAGTGTTTTATTAGATTTCAAGTACTTTATTTTCCCAACTAGATGGAATAATAATACCCGTCTGCCGGAAAGTCAGATTGCCCGAAAATTAGCCCCCCCCCCCACCGCCCCACCGCCCCACCGCCCCAAAGGCTCGTACGGATATGTCTCCGTAATTGATTGTTGGACCTCCTAATTAGCCAGCTAAGTCACCGTGGCCCCCGGTTTGATGCAGTGACGTGTCCACGAACGATGGCGTTCGATAACATTAAAAGATACATTTTTCAGCGATCACAATAAAAGAAATACTGACATTCAAGAACCACTATGGGGTACCAAAATGCCGATCGTGGTCGGAACTTGAAGTTTAGTGGCTCATAAAGTTTATGGGGAGTAAATTATAAAACATAATGGTAGTCTGGGATTTTAATATCATTGTCTTCGATAGTGTTGCTATCCACCTATCACCAAAACTATGTCTGATAATCTGCGAAATAATATAATATTTTCCTCTGGTTCTTTGAGGTTGATTATGCAACAGTTGAAATGCAATATCATGTAGAATTGGAGTTGAACTTCTTGATTGCTCAATATTGTGAAGTGATTGTATATTATAGCAATATTGATTTGAAGCGACGTGAAGTTAGCGCGTGATTCGTTGTTCGTTATTCGCGAATATAATCCAAATATATATATATATAACTGCAAATTAGAGACCAATATCACCAAGTATTAATGGTGGGGCCGTTCTTGTTCTTTGTTTGTGGATCACGGTGGCTAAGTGGGTAAGACGCCGGCTCGCTAGCCTGGAGGTCGGGTGTTCGATCCCTGCATTGGCCGAGAATGTTCATCCCGATTTTCCGGCGTGGTTCCCTTTGTCAGTGATGCAGGACGAATGGGACGAAAAACCGAGGCCCCGTGTACACATTGGCGTGCACGTAAAAAATCCCTTGACAGTTGGAATTCGATATAAGAGTAGGCCATAGTGCCGCTGTCCGGGCAAAATTTCCCTCATAACACACTGTATGACGTATGCCCGTCTTCATTAGCCCAGTTCGGAGCAGAACAGTAAGACGTTAAACCGCATTTCATTTCAGTTCATTTCTTGTTCTTGGAATATGCTAGACCGGTCTGGGATAACTGCAGCCAACATGATAGTATTCGTCTAGTGTTCGCGTAGTTACTGGTTTTTGGAAGTTTACGAGTAAAGAAGCCCTTTATCAGGAAACGGAGTGGGGACAAACTGTTAACCAGACGTTGTAGTCAGAAACTGGTACTTTCTTTACGATATATACAACAATAATTGTCTTGTATGCCTTATAAATATATTACAGCAGTATAGAAACAGTAACATGCCATATCCATTACAAAATACCAACCAATTATTGACGCCGCTTTGTCGAACATCACGGTTTAAAAATTCATTAGATTCGTCTACTAAAGTTGCTCCTATATAATAGAGCAGTATTCAGATCAAAAATAAGTAAATCTGATCAAACCGAAACCTCCCCTAATTATCTGTGAACATGTAACAGGAAACTTAATATCTTACATTATTACAAGACTATATATGACTACTTCCAAAATTGTCCTCTGTATAATGAGCAAAGGAGTACTGACCACCTCTAACAATTATATTGTATTGGAGCGAGCTCATTTGTAAGTTTTAGTAATTTCCTGTCTGATCCGTTTACTTTAAAGTAATAAAATATGTTTAAACTATGACTTAATAGTTTAGGTTGTATTTTAACAAATGTATGGCGGAAAAGTTTTTCGCTAATTCGACTTGATGTTGTGAAACTATTGCTTGACTCTTATCCCCGTATTAGGATGCTTTCACACGGTTATACTGTTATAAATAAGGGTTCCCCTTAGACTATACGGGTTCGCCGCTGATCCATTTTTCAAAAAATCTAAAATCTTCAGAAATTATTTTTGTTCAAACTTGAGAGAAATTAATTTGCAAGATAACGGCAGTGAGAATGATTGACCCATTTCGTTCAAAACCTTCGATAAGCTTCCAAATTTCACATATAGGTTTGGTTCCAAAACAATCTGGCGGGTGGAGACTAATTACTTATTAATCACATCCTCACGTCAACAGTACTAACGATTTTAATGATGAGGTTGCTTTTGTATTATATATCTCCAATTGGAAATTCTATCTGTTAATTTTTCAAAAATTAACAATACTAATTGGCTATTTTTTTCTTACAGAAACAATAATGATTGTCCCCTTCTCGATCCCTTTTGTTTCAAAATTATTAAACAGAAAATGAAAATAAATTACAGAAAATTTTATTTCTTTAAATTTATGTTGGTATATAAATTTAGCATTTCTTCCACTCTCTAACACTTTACTAAAACACCATTTTCATAGAAGTCTGCTATACACCCACCACAGTAGTTAGAGCTGTTGAAATAAAATCAATATATGACACCATTAATGTACCAATACATTAAATCCAATATATGACACCTGCTCCTGTGCCTTTACGTTAGTTAATGTATCAATATATCAGTTAATTAATCAGTTAATATAACATTATATCAGTTCCACTTTTACATTAGTTAATGTACCTTTTTCTAATGAATGATTTTGCCGAATATTAAATATTCTAAATGTTCTAGAATGTTATGCTGTGAAAAATTCAGCGTACATTTCTAAATGACGTGATTGTTTGAAAACGACATATACAATTATAATGGTGTTTTCCTACTAAATTTTTTCTTTTTTTTAACTTGTTGAGCCGAATTCTTCGAAAAACCTCGCGAATCTATATTTGTTTGAAACTGTGCACTTTATCAATAATTTGTCTTTGTCGAAAAGTGTTTTCAATAATACTGCAAAAGTATTTTTATACTTACACGCATGTGGCATTTGGATGAGATGGACATCTTGCAAACCTACATGGATCTATGAAACAGTTCACCAACTGCACGCCTTTAGGACATTGTCTACCTGTGAACATATTATGTACGTCTATGTAAGTAACATTAACATAGTATTAACCCACCGATCTAACCAGGCGGCCAATGATATAACATATGCAAATAGCAAGTGCAGGAGGACAATACTACACGCCAACGCTAAAATTAAAAAAATAAAGTGTATTGAGTAAACAGGAACAATGCCCGCCCATGGGAACATTCTTCAGTATGGAGAGCTAAAAATTCTACTCTATAATATGAAATGTAGGAGGACCGCCTTACACACAAACAAAACCGATAAGACAAACCTGTAGACAGGAAACAGATATTACAAGTAATATCAAAGCATGTAACTGTCCGGAGAGGTGTTGATTTCAAATCAGATTTTGCACAATATCGGAGCTTATTTTGCATGGAGGCAACGTTTTCTGTGGGTGTAGTATATGATATAACTAATAATTTTTTCTAAATTGGAATTTTAGAAAACGGAAACAGTAAATCTAAACCACTACTTAAACCGACCGACATGTTGGACAGTTATTCTTATCTAATACTTACACCGACATGTTGGACAATTATTCCTATCTAATTCTTGTCCATGCTGACACTTTATCAAACCAGCACAAGGTAGTCTAGGGCATACTGAAAATAAAAACAGGAGGAAAAGCATACTATTGCTTTAAAAATTGAAGTGTAAAATTTAGCCCCATCAATTAAATGTTTTTAGTTATAATATTTTATTGCGTTTTTATCTCGAATTGCAAAGGGGTTGGTGTATCAGCATTAAAATAAGGCATCTAAGATTATACCAACAGCACTTTGAAAATTGTCCAGTTTATCATGTTCTCTTGATTTTATACCATTATTCTTATTTGTTTGTATATATAAAATAGTGTAGTCTACAAGGTCATTTCCAGATCGATCTGTGGGTTACATACAGAAAGATAGGCTGATGGCAGACCTTGACAATCTTTTCTATACATATAAGAAAGCCCAAATTACCCATAAAAACAAATCGAATCAAACTAGCATATACTCATGTTTACCTGGTTTAGGTGTAGGTTTGAAACCACCTGTTGGGTGTTGACATCTATAACCACAACCTTGTCGACAACATTTCTGTGTAAAAGGACAATCTCTGTCGTTACTGCATTCGTCGAATTTATAACATGGAAACTTGGCAGCAACAAATTCCGGGCAGAAACCTGTAATTTTTTTGTACAGTATTAAGAACCATTGAAGATTATACCGGTAATGCCAATGCATGTCTAAAATAGCAAACTTATGAGGGGGGACATAATCTTGCTTGAAAAACATGTAACTATGCCTAAAGGCACCCAAAGGCGATTTTGCCCCCCTTTCCTCTAGAGTAATGATACTGCTTAGTGTAAAAGTATTACACTATGGGTTTTAACTCCATTACAAGTGCAGTAACAAATTTTACTACTAAATATGTCATTTTAGCACCAAATATCTATAACAGATTATTACTTTTGTTAGATGGACCTCTTAAGCTTTTAGCTTACGGGTGGACTACCATTCTCTACAACTATGGTTGGAGTTTGTGTTCTGTTGCATTTTCGGTCCCTACGCCCAAAACATTGGTTGAATACCTAGCCTTATTAAACAGCGGGAGCGTGTACTGATTCTAATCGGTTGATTAAAGATACATTATGGGAGATAAGATAAAGAGATGGCAGTTCTCGCTATAATAGTTAAAAACTAGATAATGTAAAGGTAATTTGCTGAGAATTTCAGTCAAATTGATCCACTATGAGCCGAGAAAGAAGCCGGTGAAATTTTTGCATAGTCTCGGTTATCATTACTAAAATAATTAATATAAACAGCATAGTCTCGATTATCGACTTTTTCTGATTTAATTATCTTTGGCCGTTAGCGGCATATAGGAATCTAATCCAGCCTACATCGAAGGCTAGCCTTGACATCGAGGGTTTATTATGGTCTGGAAAAGTTAATTAATGTCTAATTGATAATTTAGATAACATTTCAGGCCTAAAGAAAGACTTGTAATAAGCAGATTTTGCTCTTGCATAATGCATGTTTAAAATGACGTTAGTATGGTCTAATATATGGTAGTAGGTCTAACCATTGCAGACCATTCGTTCACAAATATACTATTCAAATAAAGTAGGGGATATTTGATTTTTAAGTGTTATTAAAGTCACCTAATGAAACTGACGAAGAAACAAATGACAAAATGAAATGAAGTTCACATTCATCGATTTATTCCAAATGATCGTTAGACTAAGTAAGGCACAGACTGACCATTATAAGGGTAAAATGATACCCGGGGTCAAACAGCAAAGTTACCACAGCATCACAACCAAGTCAGTAACGGGTAAATCCTCCTCTGTTTGCCAAACAAGCATTGATCCGACGTGGCATACTCCTAATGAGACGTCTAAGGTCATTTTGGTCCAGATTGTCCCATTCCTGTTGCAACGCAGCAGCAAGTTCTTGGACATTGGCAGGACGTTGTTGACGTTGACTTAACCTCTGTCCAAGCATGTCCCAGACATGCTCGATGGGGCGAGGTCGGGACTCAGTGCTGGCCAAGGTTATGTGGTGATGTTCTGTTGTTGGAGGTAACCTGTAACGATCCTGGCCCTGTGACATCTTGCGTTGTCATCCTGGAAGATGAAACGGCGGCCATGACGTCGTGCGAACGGCACAACATGGACTGCCAAGATGTTGTCCCGGTAGTACTGGCCTGTAACACGCCCTGCAACAACATGTAAAGCCGTTCTTCCAGCAACAGTGATGCCTCCCCACACCATAACAGAACCACCCCCAAATCGATCATGTCTGATGACGTTAACGTCTTGGAAGCGCTCGTTTCGACGACGCCACACCCTCCTACGTCTGTCCAAAAAATCAACAGTGAACCTTGACTCATCTGAAAACATCACATTGCTCCAGCGTCGATTATCCCAGTGTTGACGACCCCTACACCAACGACGTCTTGCCTGAATGTGATGATCTCTCAAACAAGGGATCACGCGAGGACGTCGGGCGCGAAGGTGACCCCTATGCAGTCGATTCCGAATCGTCTGGCCACTCACTCTCACACCAGTGTCTGTTTGAAGACGAGCGCTGATCTGATTTGCTGTGATGACACGATTTCTCAAGGCCAAGGTACGGATAAATCGATCCTGGGCTTGAGTTGTCGCCCTTGGTCGACCTGAGCGTGGTCTGTCCTGTACCGATTGTGTATCACGGTATCTGGACCATAGCCTGCTTATGACAGACTGAGAAACATTCATCGTCCGCGCCACAACCGCCTGTGTTGTGCCGATCTGTAGCATGCCAAGGGCACGTAACCTTTCATTTTGGGTAAGCCGATGCATATCAAAATTTGTTTTCTGGTCACTAAAACATTTAAACTGATGTTTCCACCCTGGAATTCAATGCCACAATGACTGTAACATTCAAAGTCAGAGTCGTGCAAATCTTGGGTTGGACCCCCATGATGATCCCAAGCATCACCTGCATTCCATGCGGTAGCTATTGGTGCGTTTGGGCGTCACATGTAACTGGAAATGTTTCTTCTGTTAGGTTCTATAGTGACTTTTTTCGTAGTCATTTGCATATTTTAGTATTATGCCCCCAAAATCAAATATCCCCTACTTTTTTTGAATATTATATTAACCAACAGAAGCATGTTAATAACAATCTAACCTTCCTTTACGATTGACAATTCGGATTTTCTGGGATATTTACAAACTTTGCCACATCCATTCCTACAACAAATCTGACCTGAAAAGTAAATATATTAAATATAAATTGGTGCCAGACTAAAACAAGATTTACGTTTCTTTGGTGATCTGTGGCCAAATGGCATTAATGACTTAGCATGACTTTGATAGGGTTTACAGCTAAAGGGAGGCAACTATATACATTCTAAACACTTTACGATGACGCAAATACCAATGCGTATGCGAATAATGAATAGTTATTATATGACAGTAACAGTAATGTTATTGTCTTTTAAAGGATCATTCAATCTGATTTCTGTAGGCTAATTAAATATATTTGAGCTTAAGCGAGCATGTTATTAATTTCGATAATATATTTGTAATGTTATGGCATTTCCGTTGCCGTTGATAACTCCAGATAACATTTTGCAGTTTGCAGTAGACTAATTATAATGATAATAAACGTATATTCTAAGCCTTATCAAAATTTCACTACTGGAAATAAAGTTACTGATTTCAAAAAAGGTGACAGTAAGTCATAATTAATAGACCCTGCCAATGATGTGAAATTGACAATTAATGATTACTGCGTTATGAATATTAGTCTACGTACATATTTAAATAACACAGCTAGTATGAAAATTGATTTAATCCGTCTACGTATTCCCATGTTTTCGACAGACTGGTCATTTTCCGCCAAGAATGGACATATGAATATTTTTAAGAATATACATCTTGATATATTTTTTTAAATTTAGATGATATAAACCTGCGCGCTACTAATCGCATACAACATACTTGTTGGTACAGTCGAAAATTATTTGTAAAATATGTATCCACCAGGTTTATAGCATATCCATTGTGTCGTTTCCCAGATAGTTTGAAGGAGTTTAATTAAATTTAATTATGATGGGGTTGTTTAGATTTCTTCGAACAAAGTAGCTTGATCTTTAAAAAACGCATGTACGTTGGTAATCTATTCAGATAATCTTTCTTACATAAGGATACACCTTGTTCAAAGTGAAACGGTATGGGCCATGGACGGAACGGAGAAATTAAATTAGGGCAGACTTAAATGTTTTTTACTCTTGGCATTTTCAACTTCTTGTTTTATTTAGAATGGTGTGTTCAGATGATGTTGTTGTTTTAAAATTCTAGATGACGCTAAAACATGCGACCGAAAAATTGTGTAATTATAAGGTTCGTACTTGTGACCAAATTTGTAAAAATAAATCCATAAAGAACAGTAGAGTGATTAATGACAGGATGGAAGAACGGACTCATGTTATAAAAATATACAGCAGTATAAATGTCGGTGCATACAAGGATTTAATTTTATTATTATTTTGAAGAAAAAAAAACCGTAACCTTTTATTGACTACATTGAATATCTTCTTTGATATATGTCACGTACAACCCCCGAACCGATAATCGATGCTGAAATTGAAAATAACATCGAACGTGATATGGTTGGCAAATACTATTTCAAATACAAGCTAAACAACATATTTCAATTTGCAAACCATGTCACGTTCGATGTTGTTTTCAATTTCAACACTCCGCCAAACCATTCAAACTGACAAAGAGAGAGTCGTTGGTATCAACATAATGGTCCCGATCACACAGTGGCGACACCAAAACGACGTCATAATGATGGTTGCTAAGTAGAAGTATCAAAATTCTAAATTTGTTTGACTTTCATGCTTAACATGTAAAGCGACAAGAAAGTAGAGATTTTTCGTCTTAATAATAGAAATAAGATGAAACAGAATTAAAATTTACACTCAACAAAAAAAAGAAGTTGGATTATACATTGTCTTAATATAGAAATTGCATGAATAGAAGACGAGAATATCCTCTTCGAAACGTCGCTTAGTATTAAAATTGTGTATCCATAAAATTGTACCTTGTGTTACATTGAATATATTGATTTATAGATTTACTTACCGTCGTCACACTCACGATCGCTTAAGCAGTTGAACCTAGGATCAAAGAGACAGATCGTTGTTAAACCACTTGGTTTTGGACAACGTGGGTTATCCTGAGATCTCACTATAAAATAGAAAGACACAAATTAGTCTGCTAAGCTATTTTATGATGGGTAAATAAATCGAAAACTTGGTCATACTTTTAAAATCAGATTAGCAGACGGATTAGCTACTGATGATCTATTGATTATTATTTACATGCACGCCAATGTGTACACGGGAGCTCAGTTTTTCGTTTCATCCGAATGCCCGGACAGCTGTCCTTGTCAGGCATCCCTCCTTCGCCACTGACAAAGGGAAACCACGCCGGAAATTGCGTTTTGAATTGTAAAGGTTGTGAGCAGTATTTTCAATGATATTTATTTCGTATTCTGTGATTGGTTCATTGGAGTAACTTAAAATGTAGAACTCTCTGATATCGCCGAATTAAACCTTGTGAATTAAGTGGGGCTTGAACATCGAGTCGTGATCTCATATGGTGACACTACGGCAAAGTTATTGATTCGTATATTCTAGAAAAATTAAGAAAATGTTTCATGATTTAATATCGTATACGGTGTCTTAAAAGATAACGGCCAATGACCAAAAACTTATACTTTTACGGATATATAGTACCTAAATGGAATTGAATTTCCACATTATTAGCTGTCAGTCAATGTTTAAAAATATAGTATTAAATGGACACTTACCACATACAAAAAACAACGCAAATAGTAAATACTTCATTATGTCACAAACATGCAGTTTAAAGTTCACACAAAACATGGACTATACAACTTACTGTTATATATATACAACTGGTTAGGACCAATCCGATTGCTAGTTTCAGTGTATCCGCTTTAAATGACAATGGGCTTGACATTGCTATTGACACCAACATTTTGGCTAATTCATTCCGACGTAATTTCTGTCATATTTGTAATTTTTGACATTTAGGTGCGGCTGTAATAATGTTAGGGACTTAAGGTAAATAACAAAACATAATGTATCCGCTTAAAAATCCGCTTGACACAACAACAACATTGTTATTGGTGTAGTTTTGACCGATTTATAATTGTTGACAAATTGGGCGTCTCAGTATTCTATAATACAGCTACGGGAGCCTGTTAGGGACATCAGGTAAAAACTGCTATTTGAAAGGTATTTGGCAACATGGGAGAATGAGAGAGCGAAGAATATATTTAACCTCCGCTTACCACTGACTAGGTCCTTTTTGGACAAACATACTTTAACAATTTGGCTGCGCTAACGGATCTTGAGCCTTAAAAGAAGCCGACCCTTCTATACACACATTTGGACACTTTACCACCATAATAATAACAAGCCAACAGTTAGGCTGGTATCCCCCGCGGAAATCCCAATATAAACAGAGACATTAATTATTTACACGTTTATTTTTTACAAAGTATCGAGTAATCAAACTGGTTATCTATGCTTAGTTTAACCATAAAATGTTCACGACCAAACTCTGTCAAGAAAATGCCCAGCATCAAACTTTTTTAAGGTATAAAAAAATATACACTAAGTTTCACCACTATCACTCAATTACAATCAAAGTTTTCGAACTCCAGAGTCTCGACCAATCAAACTGCTTATCGCTCTGCTTACCCTGGGCCGAAAAGGCGCATTATCAAACTTAGTTAAGGTATTGATTGATATGATGAAACTATATACACCAAGTTTCATCACACTCACTTAATTAGAACCAAAGTTATTTTGTCCCAAATCATCAACCAATTAAAATGATTACCTCTGCTTACCCTAAGCAGAATCTGCTCATCTTCGAACTCCATCAAGGCATTCATTAGCCTAATGAACGCCTAGACCAAGTTTGAACATTCTATCTCAATTTGAAGGAAAGTTCTTATGTTCCAAAGTCTCGACCAATCATAGCTAAACACCAAGTTTCATCACTCTCACTTAATTAGAACCCAATATGTCGTGTCAAAAACATCAACCAATCAAATTGCTTATCTCTGCTTACCCTAAGCAGAAAATGCTCATCTTCAAACTCCATCAAGGCATTCACCTAACAAACACCTACACTAAGATTGAACATTTTAGCTCAATTAGAAAGAACATTATTGTGTCCCAAAAAGTGTGACAGAGAGACAGACGGGAGTCCAGACGTGCGAACGGACGGACAGATCCATTTTAACAGTCCCCTGCTTTTGTCGAAAGGCGGGGGACAAAACTCTAGATCCACGAAGGAGTACTGACGTGTTTGTCACGTCAACAATCAAGTTACACCGTGAATTATTAAGTATAGTGACATCCAATACCTAATAAAGTGGACAAAACTTGTCATTTTGAACTCTTTAATAAAACCAGAAGTTGTACTTCAAGACCGAACTTTTTTATATTAATTGTTACTGTGTTAGTAGACATCAGGGTCATCATATATACAAAGGTCATTGAAAGGTTAGGTCACCAGATAGAAGGTCAAAAGTAGAACAAAAGTGAAACCGGAATTAAACAAAATCGAAATTAAAAAATCGGCTCGGTAAGAATTAATGAAAATGAAAGATAATATCTGGGGCTAATACCAACATGTGTCATTTTTGGTCTATTTTTAAAATAGAAAGAACTATTTATGTTCGGAAAAAATCGAAAAGGTTCGGTAATTTCTAAAAGTTTCCGGAAGTCGTCTCAAAAAAAATTAAAATAACATTTTTAAGACATCAATGTGTTCCATATTCCTACCAAGTTCCAACTTTATACCTCAATTACTAACGGAGATGCGCTATCTTGAATGTCGAAAAAATGCTGAGGAAAACTTTCGTAAATCTTTGATGCTAAAACTAATCGAACGAACTTCCGAGTTTCGAAACACTAGCAGGCGGAACATTATGGGATTCGTCCAAAGAATACAAAAATGAAAACCCGACGAAGATCCGTTAAGAAATAACCGAGATATAAGCAATCTGAGATTATTTTTTTCTCCCATCGGTAAAGCACTTGATGTTTGTCAAAAATAACCCAATTTATATTCAATAAATAGTTCCACAGAGGCCAACCACATCTACGTTGGCAGAATGTTGGCACCATATACATGTACAGTTCTTGCTGCAAACTCTGACTGAATTCCGCAAAAATATAAATAATAACCAACGGACGCCAGGCAGGATACGCCTACATTTTGCAAGAGATGGATAGAGAACAAGATAAAAACAAAAATGATTTTTTTTTGTACAATCAGGTGCCATAATCCAGAAAGTTATGGTCTGAAATGCGCAAATATCAACAGTGACTAAGATTTTTGGAATATCAAGATATTTTTTTAAGTTTCATCAAAATCGGATGTTTTGTTTTGTTACCACCAGTGCAGACGTTACTAGACCGACATGCCAGGAGCGCGGGTCCTCAAAAGCGGCGTTTTCTTATAATTTTACCTTTCCAGTTAGATTTGGAAGTTTCTTTATTGGTTATAATACAAATTATGAGTTAGCCGGAGACTTTAGTTTTTGGACATCACACACCAATGAATCACAGTGATAAATATTTTTAGTCCTGGTATAAGTCATACAATGTATCGAATATAATGACCCATGTTTCCGATGCATGCTTTTAGAATTTCCCATGTCTGATTCAACCACATTTTCGGGAGGTCGCGCTTATGGTTTTGGCTTAGAAAGTGTGTCGGTGTCTTGGCCTACACAAAATTGGAAAATCTCAGAGAATGAGTGGAAATACATCCACTCAACCCTCACCACTTTGTATTGTAGGTTAGTCTCAAGATAACAGTTAAAATCTAACTTAATAAATAAAGTAAATGTCGTCGCAATTCAATTCATTAGTATTATATTAAGAAGAACGGAATAAATATCATATGAGAAAGTTAATGCTGTTACGATTAATACAATCAAAATCGTTTCAATTCACTCCATTAATATTATACTAGGAAGGACGGAATAAATATCATATGAGGAAGTTAAAGATGCTACGATTAATAAAATAACAATTGTTTGAATTCACTCAATTACTTTTATACTAGAACGAACGGGCGGAATAAATATTATTATTATTATTATTATTAGTAGTAGTAGTAGTAGTAGTATTACAGCATATTTACAGTGCGCCCTTTAATGTTAAAGAAGTTAAAGAAGAAAAGGGTGACTAAATGGTTACAAAAAGTCTTATATATATCCGAATTACTTTATGTAACACAAGACCGGGTTACCATTATTATTAATTTATTTTTCAGGTAGCATTTGCTGTAAAGAAGGATGTGGTAGTATTTGCACACTAACTACAGTACCAATTATAAAAAGAGGTTAGAGAATACAACTTCATTTTTATAACGTATTTCTTTTCTGGTATTCTGAAACCAACTTAATATCTACTGTATAATATCTTAAGATTTGGTCACTACTTTGACTATCTGGTAATTATCTGTAATACAAGAAAAGAAATGTATCCATGTTGTTGCTGAAGAATTAGGGCGCGTTAGTGACGTCATACTAACTTCTAGCAACAGCTCGTTATTCGCTGCTTGAATAACAATGTGGACTGTTTTTCGTCTAGGGGTCGTTTTGCTGTGTTTTATACTACTTGGGGATACTTGGCATCCACCATTCTAGTCATGGCTAGCTGCATATTGGTATTCCGAGTATAAAGTTGAATAACGAATAACGAGGTAGCTTGTACCTCGTTATTCGCCAATAACGAGGCAAGTCACCTCGTTATTCGTTATTCACCGCTTGAATAACAATCTGGGTTTTTTTACTGACTATACGTCATTTAATACGTTTTCTACTGCTAGGGGATACTTTGCAATCCATTATTCTATTGTTGTCTAGTGATCGTTTAGAATTAAATCCTGAAATCTCCTCATTAAAGATACATGAACACCTTCATATGTGAATCCCGAATAAATAGGTGAAAAACGAATAACAAACAGCTCGTTATTCGCTGCTTGAATAGCAATGTGGACTGTTTTTCGTATAGAGGTCGTTTTGCTGTGTTTTATACTACTGAGGGATACTTGGCATCCATCATTCTAGTCATGGCTAGTTGCATATTGGAATCCTGAATATAAAGTTGAATAACGAATAACCAGGTATCTTGTACCTCGTTATTCGCCAATAACGAGGCAAGTCACCTCGTTATTCGTTATTCGTTATTCATCGCTTGAATAACAATCTGGTTTATTCACCGACTATACGTCATTTAATACGTTTTCTACTGCTAGGGCATACTTTGCAATCAATTATTCTATTGTTGTCTTGTGATGAAATATCCTCATTAAAGATACATGAACACCTTCATATGTGAATCCCGAATAACGAGGTGAAAAACGAATAACAAACAGCTCGTTATTCGCTGCTTGAATAACAATGTGGGCTTTTTTTGTCTAGAGGTCGTTTTGCTGTGTTTTATACTACTGGGGGGTACTTGGCATCCATCATTCTAGTCATGGCTAGCTGCATATTGGAATCCCGAATATAAAGTTGAATAACGAATAACGAATAACGAGGTAGCTTCTACCTCATTATTCGCCAATAACGAGGTAAGTCACCTCGTTATTCGTTATTGGTGAATAACGAATAACGAGGTAGCTTGTACCTCGTTATTCGCCAATAACGAGGTAAGTCACCTCGTTATTCGTTATTGGTGAATAACGAATAACGAATAACGAAAAACGATTCAACTTCACACTGCCATCCCGAATAATGTGCTAGCTCGTTATTCGTTATTCGCGAATATCGAATAACGTGCCAACTTCACGCTGCCGTGTTAAATTGTCATAGTGTCATTAATTTATGTCTTTCATAATGTTAATCTTCCAGGCGTATGTCCCAGTCCGCCAGATCCAACTGTGACAAGTTTTCTTCTACCAATAACAAACGAAGGTAGAAAGATTAGAGACTGTAGAGATGACCTTAAATGTTGTCCAAATCCTTGTGGAGGAAGATGAGATCTAGTCAGACCCCCAAAGCCAGGTCTTATTATTATTATGTTATCTTAGTTATATAAGTCATTATAATTATTGGTAA